AATATTTATGCACCAAACATAGGAGCACCTCAATACTTAAGGCAAATGCTAACAGCCATAAAAGAGGAGATCCACAGTAACACAATCATAGTAGGGGACTTTAACACCCCACTTTCACCAATGGACAGATCATCCAAAATGAAATAAATAAGGAAACACAAGCTTTAAATGATACATTAAACAAGATGGACTTAATTGATATTTATAGGACATTCCATCCAAAAACAACAGAATACACATTTTTCTCAAGTGCTCATGGAACATTCTCCAGGATAGATCATATCTTGGGTTACAAATCTAGCCGTGGTAAATTTAAGAAAATAGAAATCGTATCAAGTATCTTTTCGACCACAACGCTATGAGACTAGATATCAATTACAGGAAAAGATCTGTAAAAAATACAAACACGTGGAGGCTAAACAATACACTACTTAATGACGAAGTGATCACTGAAGAAATCAAAGAGGAAATAAAAAAATACCTATAAACAAATGACAATGGAGACACGACGACCCAAAATGTATGGGATGCAGCGAAAGCAGTTCTAAGAGGGAAGTTTATAGCAGTACAATCCTACCTCAAGAAACAAGAAACATCTCAAATAAACAACCTAACCTTACACTTAAAGGTATTGGAGAAACAAGAACAAAAAAACCCCAAAGTTAGCAGAAGGAAAGAAATCATAAAGATCAGATCAGAAATAAATGAAGAAAACAATAGCAAAGATCAATAAAACTAAAAGCTGGTTCTTTGAGAAGATAAACAAAATTGATAAACCATTAGCCAGACTCATCAAGAAAAAAAGGGAGAACACTCAAATCAACAGAATTAGGAAAGAAAAAGGAGAAGAAACAACTGACACTGCAGAAATACAAAGGATCATGAGAGACTACTACAAGCAACCATATGCCAATACAATGCACAACCTGGAAGAAAATGGACAAATTCTTGGGAAATCACAACCTTCCAAGGCTGAACCAGGAAGAGATAGAAAATATAAACAGACCAGTCACAAGCCCTGAAATTTAGACTGTAATAAAAAAATCTTCCAACAAACAAAAGCCCAGGACCAGACGGATTCACAGGTGAATTCTATCAAACATTTAGAGAAGAGCTAACATCCATCCTTCTCAAACTCTTCCAAAAAATTGCAGAGGAAGGAACACGCCCAAACTCATTCTATGAGGCCACCATCACCCTGATACCAAAACCAGACAAAGATGTCACAAAGAAAGAAAACTACAGGCCAATATCACTGATGAACATAGACACAAAAATCCTCAACAAAATACTAGCAAACAGAATCCAACAGCACATTAAAAGGATCATAAACCATGATCAAGTGGAGTTTATCCCAGGAATGCAAGGATTCTTCAATATATGCCAATCCATCAACGTGATAAACCATATTAACAAACTGAAGGAGAAAAACCATATGATCATCTCAATAGATATAGAAAAAGCTTTTTACAAATTCAACACCATTTATGATAAAAACCCTCCAGAAAGTGGGCATAGAGGGAACTTACCTTAACATAATAAAGGCCATATATGACAAACCCACAGCCAACATCATTCTCAATGGTGAAAAACTGAAAGATCAGGAACAAGACAAGGATGTCCACTCTCATCACTATTATTCTACATAGTTTTGGAAGTCCTAGCCACAGCAATCAGAGAAGAAAAAGAAATAAAAAGAATCCAAATAGGAAAAGAAGAAGTAAAGCTGTCACTGTTTGCAGATGACATGATACTATACATAGAGAATCCTAAAGATGCTACCAGAAAACTACTAGAGCTAATCAATTAATTTGGTAAAGTAGCAGGATACAAAATTAATGCACAGAAATCTCTTGCATTCCTATACACTAATGATGAAAAACCTGAAAGAGAAACACTCCCATTTACCACTACAACAAAAAGAATAAAACACCTAGGAATAAACCTACCTAAGGAGACAAAAGACCTATATGCAGAAAACTATAAGAAACTGATGAAAGAAATTTAAGATGATACAAACAGATGGAGAGATATACCATGTTCTTGGATTGGAAGAATCAACACTGTGCAAATAACTATACTACCCAAAGCAATCTACAGATTCCATGCAATCCCTATCAAACTACCAATGGCATTTTTCACAGAACTAGGACAAAAAATTTCACAATTTGTATGGAAACACAAAAGACCCCGAATAGCCAAAGCAATCTTGAGAAAGAAAAATGGAGCTGGAGGAATCAGGCTCCCGGACTTCAGACTATACTACAAAGCTGCAGTATGGTACTGGCACAAAAACAAAAATATAGATCAATGGAACAGGACAGGAAGCCCAGAGATAAACTCACGCACATATGGTTACCTGATTTTTGATAAAGGAGGCAAGAATATACAATGGAGAAAAGACAGACTCTTCAATAAGTGGTGCTGGGAAAACTGGACAGCTACATGTAAAAGAATGAAATTAGAACACTCCCTAACACCATACACAAAAATAAACTCAAAATGGATTAAAGACCTAAATGTAAGGATAGACACTATAAAACTCTTAGAGGAAAACACAGGCAGAACACTCTATGTCATAAATCACAGCAAGATCCTTTTTGACCCACCTCCTAGTGAAATGGAAAGAAAAACAAACAAATGGAACCTAACGAAACTTCAAAGCTTTGCACAGCAAAGGAAACCATAAACAAGGCAAAAAGACAACCCTCAGAATGGGAGAAAATATTTGCAAATGAAGCAACTGAGAAAAGATTAATCTTCAAAATTTACACGCAGCCCAAGCAGCTCAATACAAGAAAACAAACAACCCAATCCAAAAATGGGCAGAAGATCTAAACAGACATTTCTCCAAAGAAGATATACAGATTGCCAACAAACACATGAAAGAATGCTCAACATCATTAATCATTAGAGAAATGCAAATCAAAACTAAACTACAATGAGTTATCACCTCATACCAGTCAGAATGGCCATCATCAAAAAATCTACAAACAATAAATGTTGGAGAGGTTGTGGAGAAAAGGGAACCCTCTTGCACTGTTTGTGGGAATGTAAATTGATACAGCCACTATGGAGAACAGTATGGAGGTTCCTTAAAAATCTAAACATAGAACTACCATTCGACCCAGCAATCCCACTACTGGGCATATACCCTGAGAAAACCATAATTCAAAAAGAGCCATGTACCACAATGTTCATTGCAGCACTATTTACAATGCCAGGACATGCAAGCAACCTAACTGTCCACCAACAGATGAATGGATAAAGAAGATGTGGCACATATATACAATGGAATATTACTCAGCCATAAAAAGAAATGAAATTGAGTTATTTGTAGTGAGGTGGATGGACCTAGAGTCTGTCATACAGACTGAAGTAAGTCAGAAAGAGTAAAACAAATACCATATGCTAATATATATATATGGGATCTAAAAAAAAAAAAAGGTTGTGAAGAACCTAAGGGCAGGACAGGAATAAAGAGGCAGACATAGAGAATGGACTTCAGGACACGGGGAGGGGGGACGGGTAAGCTGGGACGAACTGAGAGGGTGGCATGGACTTATATACACTACCAAATGTAAAACAGATAGCTAGTGGGAAGCAGCCGCATAGCACAGGGAGATCAGCTCGGTGCTTTGTGACCACCTAGAGGGGTGGCATAGGGAGGGTGGGAGGGAGACACAAGAGGGAGGCGATGTGAGGATATATGTATACCTATAGTTGATTCACTTTGTTATACAGCAGAAGCTAACACAACATTGTAAAGCAATTATACTCCAATAAAGATATTAGAAAAAAAAATGGCGGCATTGCTGGAAAAGAAAAAAAGAAAGGAAATCTATTAGAGCTTTCGACAAAAGTAAAGATAGGCAAATCTAATGTTCATTTTGCTTCAATTTCCCAAATACAAATATTAACAAATATCTATCCTGGAAAGAAAGCTGCAAAATTATTTCCAGAAAATTTTCTCACATAAAGTAAAATTAAAACCTGGCAGGTAATAGAAAGATTAATTAAAAGAACCTCATTCACCATCATTCACTGACGATATATCAGGCTTACAAAAAATTGCTTTAAAAGGAAATTGAGTGTATAATTATTTCAAATTAAAAGTTAAAAAAAGGCAAAGGGGATCTTTCTAAAAATAAGCTACATAACTCAAAATTAACTGTTCTGTCTACAAGCCCTAATTACATTACCCACTAACTGATACACTTTTCAACTGCAAAAATACTTTGAAAAAACTTCCAGTATCATGAACACTGACTGACAAATAAAATCCCACTTCGAAGCCAATGAGCAAATTCTCCAAAGAGCAGACTACATCCAGTATATTTCATACTAGAAAAAAAGAGAAAGTAAATGCATCTAATATGGGATCACTAGGGCCCTTCTGAATTTGAGAAAATGCACATTACTGAGAAGGCCTACATTATTCTTTGAGACTTCTAGTAGAATGTAGGTAAAAGCAGCATATGCCATTAGCCCCAGATGAAACTTGAATTAGCAAATGAGTGAGTTTATTATTATCCTTACAGACTTTTCATAGCCTACACTTTTCTGATTTGCTTTCTAAACCCTGGTATAGGAATAACAAAATGCTCTAGACTTTCATGAAACAAATGAAAAACCACCACCACCACCACCAACAATCAGATGGTTAAATGAAGAATCTGTGTGCCGGTAGAAACAAATACATTCCTAGCTCTGACAACTGAGAGGGTCTGTAATGACACCCAGCAGCAACAACCGTGCGGAGGACCTAGATCCGTGTTTCCAACCATCAATCTTCACCAATTAGAAAACAAAAACAGGGCTTCCCTGGTGGTGCAGTGGTTGAGAGTCCGCCTGCCGATGCAGGGGACGCGGGTTCGTGTCCCGGTCCGGGAAGATCCCACATGCCGCGGAGCGGCTGGGCCTGTGAGCCATGGCCGCTGAGCCTGCGCGTCCGAAGCCTGTGCTCTGCAACAGGAGAGGCCATCCACAACGGGAGAGGCCCCAGCAGTGAGAGGCCCGCGTACCGCAAAAAAAAAAAAACCCAAAAAACAAAAACACCTGGGCTCTTTGGAGAAAGGGCTGATTTCTGGACTGACGGGGGAAAAGTATAAGAAGAGCCTGGAACATCTTGTGGTACTGGGAAGTAAGGAGATAATGGAAAAGTGATGAGAGCATGCCAAAAAGACACAGATGTTGAACTGAAGGCGTTCCCAAGGACCAAAGCCAAAACAGCAAAATAAAATCATAGTGCTGTATTATAACCCATGGAGTAAAATATTCCTAAATCCCTAATAATATAAATAAGTATATGAGGAAGAGGGGACAGTGGTTCTTTCCATTTCAATCCCTATTAATGCACTGAAAAAGAATGAAGGAGAAACAGTCAACATGGCGGCGGCGGCGGCCGCAGCGGCACCCGGGGTCTCGGGTATCTTGCAGGCCGGCCGCGCTCGCTTGGTGGCCGCTTGCTGTGCGCGGCTTGGCCCTGGGTGGAGGCTATCCGGCTCCTGGACGGTCCCGCGGGTCGACCCGGCGACCTGGGCTCGGGGCTGGACACCCACGGTCGGGGGTGCGGCCTGGCGGAGGGGCTACAGCTCTGAGGTGAAGACGGAGGACGAGCTGCGGGTGCGGTATCTGGAGGAGGAGAACCGAGGAACTGTGGTGCTTGGAATAAACAGAGCTTATACCAAAAATTCATTGAGTACAAATCTTATAAAAATGCTTTCAAAAGCTGTGGATGCTTTAAAATCTGATAAGAAAGTACGGACCATCATAGTAAGAAGTGAAGTCCCAGGGATATTCTGTGCTGGTGCTGACCTTAAGGAAAGAGTCAAAATGAATTCCAGTGAAGTTGGTCCTTTTGTCTCCAAAATAAGAGCAGTGATTAATGAAATCGCTAATCTTCCAGTGCCAACCACTGCAGCAATAGATGGACTCGCTTTAGGTGGTGGACTTGAAATGGCTTTAGCATGTGATATAAGAGTAGCAGCTTCTTCTGCAAAAATGGGCCTGGCTGAAACAAAGTTGGCAATTATTCCTGGTGGAGGGGGCACGCAGTGACTGCCACGTGCCATTGGGATGTCCCTGGCCAAAGAGCTCATCTTCTCTGCAAGTGTGCTCGATGGCCAAGCAGCCAAAGCAGTGGGCTTGATCAGCCATGTTCTGGAACAGAACCAGGAGGGGGATGCTGCCTATAGAAAGGCCTTGGACCTAGCAAGAGAGTTTTTACCTCAGGGACCTGTTGCAATGAGAGTGGCAAAATTAGCAATTAAGCAAGGGATGGAGGTCGATTTAGTAACAGGATTAGCCATAGAAGAAGCTTGTTATGCTCAGACTATTCCAACGAAAGACAGACTTGAAGGTCTTCCTGCTTTTAAAGAGAAAAGGACCCCTCGTTATAAAGGAGAGTAGAAGAAAGAGAAATCTTTAAAACGCCAGTGTAATAAATATACTTCTGGAAGTATCTTTCAGATTCACATATGCCTCAGCATCTGGAATCCCAGCGACCAAAGTGAAGAGCGAGTTATCCATATACTGAATTAAGTATCTGGAGTGGACCCCTATGTGTACTTGTTCAAAGGTGTATCGTCATTTTCATTCAGATTTATAAAGCTAATAGTGTATACTGTCAAAAACGCCAATTCAAAATTAGGTATACATTTTTAAATACCTCCTGCATACGAGGCTTTCTGTTCTTAAATTTTTTAATGTGAATAATTTATATATTGCATACGCTAGGAAAAAATATTGATTGTATGTCTCCTGTGCTACAGTATGAAAATAAAATTATTTCCATGTACCAAAAAAAAAAAAGAATGAAGGAAATTGAAATTCACCATATTTGAAATATTTGCCTAATTGAAATTGAAAAACACCACAGTAACGATTGTTGCAGGCAAAAACCATTGAAAAATACTAAAACTACAAGAGGAAGGTAGGATGAGAAACCTGACATCTGCCTAGTCTCAAAATTTCAACCCAGAAAACACTTACTAATCATAAACATAGCAACTTTAAAATCCAGCAGACTCAGTTAACCAAATAATCAAAATTACCAACATGAGCTCCCACCCCCAACATAATGCACCTAGAAGAGCACACTGTTGCTTTGGTGGTGTGCCTTCCTAAAAATACACCCCCCCAAAAGATCACACTAAGGGGCGTTCTATATAATAACTAGTAGTCTTCAAAAAGTGTCAAGATCGGGCTTCCCTGGTGTCGCAGTGGTTGAGAGTCTGCCTGCCGAGGCAGGGGACACGGGTTCGTGCCCCGGTCCGGGAGGATCCCACATGCCGCGGAGCGGCTGGTCCCGTGAGCCATGGCCGCTGAGCCTGCGCGTCCAGAGCCTGTGCTCCGCAACGGGAGAGGCCACAACAGTGCGAGGCCCGCGTACCGCAAAAAAAAAAAAAAAAAAAAAAAATTGTCAAGATCATGAAAAGTGAAAGTGAGGTACTGTCCCAGATTATATTAAGATTGTGTAAAGGAGACATGAAGCCAAATATAAAAGAACATAGGGTTGAATTTATGTAAGGTTCAAAACCAGGCAAAACCAAACCCTAGTGTTTAGAATTGCATACCTAAGTAACAAAAGTATAAAAAAGAGCAAGGAAGTAAAAATCACAAACTTACAGATAATGGCTATCTTTGGTGGGAGAGAGAAATTTGTGAATGAGAAATAGCATGCTGGAGGCATCTAGGGTGCTGGCAATATGATTTTTTTTTGTTCTGAGTAGTAGTTAAATGTATGTTGGTTCCATGAAATTTCAGTAAGCTGTACATTTATGTTTTATGTACTTTTCTGTATGTATACTTCATACTATAAAAGGTCTTAATATAAAAAGTCCAAAGAAAAAAACCAACATAAGCAATCAGTGAGAGGGTAAGAGTGACTCCTAAATGAGGGATACAATATTAATTGGTATATTAACATATTTTAATATTCCTGTAAAAATAGATGAGTATTTTAAGAGATGAGCTTCTAGGGAATCCACAAGTCACTCATCCTCTTCTTAGTACTAGAGCTACAAATTCTATGGCATAAATATAATATGAAAACACAGAACTCACATATCTGGGCATAATGGTTTTAAATAGAAAGGCAGTAAAATTAAAAAAAACAAAAAAAGGAACATAAGTGCATTAAAAATGTATAGACAAATTTTCCAGTCCCAGCCAAGATAAGATGGTACCTGAGAGAAGGGAAACAAATGAAGTCCTACCACTACCCCAGCCTACCACCTGGAGCCAATAAAGACTAACATATTTACTATCTGATCCTTTGGAGAAAAAAATGGCCAGTCCCATTTCAAGACAAATGAAAGCATATGTATACGAGAAGACTTGTTTCCTAGTCTCACAGCAGCTTTATTTATAATAGCCAAAGATTGAAGACATCTCAAATGTCCATCCATACACAGGTGAATGGATAAGTAAATTGCGATATATCTATACAACAACAGGCTGTTCAGCAATAAAAAGAAACAAACTACTGATATATGTAACAACATGGATGAATCTAATGTTGAAAGAAGGGGGGTGGGGGAAGACCACCACAGACACATACAGTGTATGTTTTCATCTACATAAGATTCTAGAAAATGAATACCCCAAAGCAGTGGTTGCCAGAAAAGGGAGTGAAGGGTGCGGGAGGAGAGAGGGAGGGAGGGATTAACAAGGGGCAGGAGGAAATTTGGGGGGGGGGGGTGCCGGCGGCTGATGGACATGGTCATCATCTTATTCCGGGAGTGGTGATTTCACACTTAAAAATCAAATTGCACACTTTAACTAAGTGCAGGTTATCATATATCAAATACTCCTCAATAAAGCTGTAAAAAATAATGTACAAACTTCATCTTCAAAGTTTTGCTAAATATATTAAAAAAGGAAAGTACAAATGTTCACAGGCCATATCACAAACTGGGCCTACAAATAATTCTAAATCAACCCACCCTGATCATTCTAAATGGAGAGTTGGTTTATTATTTTAAGACCTGCTTGTGTAAACATGAAGCAAAAAGTCTGAAAGGTGGTTTTTAACAGGGAAATCATCAAACACATATAGCTCCCCACCTGGTTTATTATCTACTGGTCATAAGAATTATTCTATAGCTTACTTTTAACCTACAGAAGAAGAGAGGGGAGAATGATTTATGTAGGGATTAGCCTCAAATCTAAACATCTGAAATTACATGAATCATCATCATATCCATAAATTTTCACCTCCTTGACTCCAAGATGTATATGTAAAGCACATTTGTTAAAAGATTAATAAATAAAATAAATGAATAAAACTTTCATTTCCTGTATTGGGAAATTCTGAAACTTATTTTATTTTTTCCCTATATTTTTGTTGTACAAGTTCCCCTTGTATACTTCAGACAAGACTCTGTGACATCCTCCTTTTCCCCTGGGAAAATGTAGGAACATTATGCTATGGGGCCATTTCTGCAGAAAAAGTACAAAAGATACTGTGGAGACAAGAAACAGGGAGATTTAAGCTGAGTGGATATAATTCACAATTCCATTTTTTTCTGTCTAAATTATAGCACCATGTCACGTTACCAGCTATTTCAATAATAGCTATGATCAATCAAAGAAAGAAATGTTTTTTTTAAATCACAGACCCCAGAATGACTAAGACTGTTATATTCCACACTGAAAAGAATTACTTCAAATCTGAATTTCAGCTTCATAGAACTCTCCACAAACTGCTGACACATGAACTGCCAAAACTACAGAGAACTGCCTAAGTGTCTCACTGATAGAATATACATTATATTGATCTTCTCTTTACTATCAATTTTAATTTGAATACTCCTCTAGTAAATATTATATATGCATCCCTTTTTTTTTAAATATAGATTTTGGTAGGTATTGAGTTAGTATTTTTTCATTGCTAGGCACATATTAGCTATCTTTATTTTTTAAAGTATGGTTAAGTCCCCTACATAGGAACCTTCAAGTTGCAAACTTTCAAAGATGTGAATGTGCATTCCATCAAGTCAGGCGTGAGTGAAAGGCAGCTTGCCTTGAAAGGCAGAGGCAGCTTGCCCTCTGCCTCCTATTGCTGACGATCCTTCAGCTCTACCATATCCCACCTCCTCTCCCTCCTCCAGTCAGTAACTCTTCTTGCCTGTTCACTTGATGCCAGCCCCTGCATACCAGCTGTTGTACTGTACTACTGTACTTTTCAAGGTACTGTACTGTAAGATTTAAAATGTTTTCTTTATTTTTTTGTGTTTGGTCATTTTTTATGTATTATTCGGGTGAAAAGTATTATAAACCTATTACAGTACAGAACTACATAGCCAACTGTGTTAGCTGGGTACCTAGGCTAACTTTGTTGGGCTTACGAACAAATTGGACTTCAAATGCGCTCTCAGAATGGAACTTGTTCGTATGTAGGGGACTTGCTGTAGTTAATTCTTTATCATTTTCATGACTCTACTTATAAACATGAATGAGCCTATTTTGAGTTAACAGACAATTCCTGCCTTAATTCAATCAGTATATTCTTTTGTTCAAACAGAGTAACTTACTGACTGGTTTAGTTTGCAAAGCCCTTGAAGGAAATTCTTACCTAGCTGAATAGCTCATGTAAAAGAATTTGAACTGTAACAATTCATTTTATTCTTTATTTTGATATCTGTTCAAAACACACTGATAACTAATGATATAGTAGCAGAATTGTTTTTAATTACTTCAAATTTAAAAATGACCAGAATACCATATTGCACATCAATTATTTTGCTTATAAATCATTATATTTACCCTTGACATATGCCTTGATCAATTAACAAAAGTTAACATAATGCATGAGACAGCTGAACCTCAGTAATGTGACAGCTATAATCTAGTCTAAGTATATTCAAGACGAAGTTCCAGAATCTCATATGCTGGGCTGACAATAGGAAATCATGAGATATCCATAAGAAAGACATCACCAGATAGTGCTGGCAGTGCTATAAAGCATGATAATTTTAACATTTCTTAAAGCCGTGAATATAAAGTAAATGTTACCAAGCTGTCTAGGACCACATTTTATAAATGACTGAAAGACCCTCATGTCCTTACGGTGAAACTAATTCTATTATTTCCAAAACGCAAGATGGAGGTTATCTAATAATCACAATACTTTTCCATTCATGTTTTCCACTCTATTAAGTGACTGATGTGAATTCTTGAAGTGGGTTATGGTCATTACAACCTTAGAATGTGCTCAGCAAATCCATGAGGGGTAGTCAAACAACGTTACCTTTTTCCTCAAATAAATTAACCAGGCTTTCAGAAAGAATTAAGCAGTGTGGAAGTATAAGCACATAGTTATTTCATACGGTTTTTTTAAGATGTAGTTTTAAAACCCATTCCTTGTCACCAATGTCATAGCAGCATTATTCACAATAGCCAAAAGGTAGAAACAATCCATATGCCCATCAACAATTGAAAAACATAATGTGGTATATATCTTGTTTATGGAATATTATTCAGTCTTAAAAAGGAATGGAATGCTGACATGCTGCAACATGGATGAACTCTGAAAACATTATGCTAAGTGAAATAAGCCAGTCACAAAAGAACAGCTATTATATATTCCACTTATATGAGGTATGTAGCAAAGTCAAATTCAAAAAGACAGAAAGTAGAATAGCGGTTACCAGAGACCAAGGTGAGACAGGAACAGGGAGTTATTGTTTAATGGGTACAAAGTTTCTGTTTGAAATGATGAAAAAATTCTGGAAATTGACAGTGGTTATGGTTGCACAACACTGGGAATGTACTTAAGGTCACGGATTTGTACACTTAAAAATGGTTTAGGGCTTCCCTGGTGGCGCAGTGTATAAGAATCTGCCTGCCAGTGCAGGGGACACAGGTTTGATCCCTGGTCCGGGAAGATCCCACATGCCACGAAGCAACTAAGCCCGTGTGCCACAACTACTGAGCCTGTGCTCTAGAGGCCGCGAGCCACAACTACTGAGCTTGCATGCCGCAACTACTGAAGCCCGTGCACCTAAAGCCCATGATCCGCAACAAGAGAAGCCACCACAATGAGAAGCCCGCGCACTGCAACTAAGAGTGGCCCCCGCTCGCCGCAGCTAGAGAGGGCCCACGTGCAGCAACAAAGACCCAACACAGCCAAAAATAAATAAATAAAATAAAAATTTTAAAAAAAGGTCTAAAAGGTACGTTCTATGTTTTAGAAAGCCCCAAAAAT